TTCAGGTTTTTTCTGCTTATGAAAGGAAAAGCTGGAAGAGTAATTTTTAGCATCTGTTTAGTAAGTGCCTCTTCTGCAATCAAAAAGCTGTCTGTTAACCTGGGCAACTGCCTCTGCAGCACCTGACCCCAAATAGCACTGAGTTGGAAGTTGTAGCCATCAGGAAGGTTTTACTTCTGCTTGCTCTTGAGAGCCAACCTGTACCTGCTATAATCTGTATCAAAAAAGTGGATGCCTCTCCATACTCAGCTAGTAGTTGTGTCCTGGGTTCTTTGCTGATGCTGTCTGGTGAAAATTAAACACTTTCACAATCATGTATGCCTGCAAAAATAGCAGGAGTAGCAGCCTTTGCCTCCCTTTCTGCTTATACATGTCATGCAAATAGAGATCTGATTAGCAGAACTGAAATCATGTCCAGAACCCTAGTTGAGGGGGAGTTTGAAAAAATGTTTATATTCAATAACTTTCTAGATTCTGCAGTAGAATAAGTCACAGTGGATGGAAATTAGAATGACCTTTGAATTACAATCTGCCATTTTCACCACAAATACATTAGACAGGCATGACTTTCTATAAAGTCCCATACTCGTGTACTACTATACACATTTAAAAGTAGTATTTAAATGTGTAGGATGAATGAAAGAGGCAGTAAGAGGACAAAGTGAATGGAAAAATACTTTAGAGAGAGTGAAGGCAGGGAGAGTCCTCTCCATTAGAGGACAAGAGAATTGCGTATGATGGGCCAGCTTCCCTAACATTTCTAGAACTTGATGGCTATGAAGGGTCTCCCATAGGAATTCTCTTTACTTAGGAGAAAATGCCTCAAAACCATCAGCTGTTTAGCATGCACCTGCTTTTCCTGGTATGTCTCCGTGAATGAAAAATGATTGAGTAAACTTCTCAGTGCTTCTCATGAACAAAAGCACAATAAAAACAACCATGCAGTGGAAGCTGTGAGTTGTTGCACTGTATTTGTGGATTAGTAGCTATTGGGTCACGTTGCTGTTGGTCACTCTGGTTCTAGAGCTGGAGATTAGGATCAGTGTTTTCAAAGAATAATGTGCGTATGCTAAACAGAGGTCTAAAAAGCAAAGGTTAAGTATTCTAAACACATATCCAAACCTAGACATTGAAAAAATGCATCTGAATTATATGTGAAATTTCCTGCTATTATTTAAAACACAAAAGGAACACTATTTAGATTATATTTTTGTGAGTTGAATGTTTACAACAAGCACGATAGGTATAAAAACTGTAGGTTTTTATAGTTGAAATTTAGTGTTAAGTCCAAAGAGTCAATAGATGGGTTTGTGTTTTACTTAACCTGTTTGATTAAATAAACATTTTAAGATATTGATTTTATTCCTCATTTCAGAATTCTCAGCGTCTTCCAGATCAGTATCGTACTCACAGTTTCTTTGGCACTGGCAAGGAAAAGACAGAGAGTTGGTGGAAGACTCTTTCCTGTCAGCTCATAACTGAGGGATTCTTGCAAAAAATTCCTGGGCATAACAAATATGCGGAGATTTGCACCCTTACTGGGAAGGTAAACAATCTAGAAGTCTGCCTGTTTGACTTAATTTTTCTCACTGGGCATTAAAAGATTCTTCTTTCTTTTGATAGGGTAGAAATTGGCTTGTTAAAGCCAATACAGAATCTCCTCCCAGACTTATCCTTCAAGCTAATGAATATGAAGAGTGGTACCCAACGAAGTCTCTTCCACCTAGGTTCATTTTTCAATTTTTTTCTTTTAATTTCTGGGTTTTTTGTTGCTTTTTCAATGATTCACATTATACCAACTTATAGGCACTACACAGGTAAAATGAGTTACTTGTTTGTTTTTCCATGCTAATTTTAGTCAGTTTGGAGGCAGGGGCCTGTGTGAGAAAGATAAATCATAGAACACTTCCTTGGTTGTTGGGAAGCACTGACCGTGTATTTAGAAAGCTTCATTCCCATTGATTAAAGCAGCAGCATTGAGATCAATGCTGAGGAATCCATCTAGTCCATTTCTTTCCTATGTGTAGAAGGTGGGGAGGGAATATGTACTTGTTGCCTACTTTTTAGCACCTTTACATGCTTTCTATCATGTATGAGTTTTTT